GTCTATGGGAAAGTACAGCTAACAAACTGGACAAACAAGGGTACACTGCTCTGAGTCCGCAAGGGAGACAAAGAGCAGTGGGGCAGTGTGAAGCTGCCCTTACATGGTAAGCAATTAGATCACATAATATCAATGTAGCAAGATGCTTTGTGCTGTTTGTGTGTTCATTTACCTGTCAAAAGATTTGTATTTCTGTACAATCAGCTCTGAGATTTTTATAGTCCTTCCAAAGGGCCAAATGGGAGACCCCACTTTGCTACAGTTAAGTAGTACACACTGTCATCCTGACTTTTCTCTGCTGCAGCACAGTGAGGACAGGCAGCTGTCTCATTGCCCATCATTAAAAGGGAGAATTTGCATATATTTGGCAAACCTTAAAATGGTATTAAATTGTAAAATATAATATATTGCAGCTTACCCATTTTTAAATTGTGGTGGCCGCATTCATTTTTTGGTTTTGTCCACTGTTAATTAGTTCCCTTCTAGAGAATGTTTTTAAATTTTTCTGCACACATGTTAAAATCTGCATTTTTGTCTATAAAATTACTTAGCCCCATACCAAAACAAAATTCATTTTCTGAAAGAAAAGGCATGGTAGAATAAGAATATAGTGTTTGCAATTTTTATGGCACAGGATATTTTCATAACTGTTTATCAATTTTTTATTTTCAGGAAAAATACAACAAAATTAATTTTATTTCACACAAACACAATTTAATACTCAATATTTTGTAAATAATAAAAGCTGAGGTAGTGTAAAGTGAATGGATGCAAATTTGTTAAGTGTCAAAAGCTCTGTACATCTGCAATTTCCTTTTAAATGTCTTTATAGCTCATCAGTAAACAAATTAACAATAAAAGATGGCCCTAGAATTATTGTTCTCACTTCGATGTTTGTGCTGATATATAACATGTGTTGTGCAATTGCTGTTCACATACCCATGTGTGTTTATTATAATACATTTTTTTTTATTCAGCTTTATTCCTATCACAAGGCAGATAATAAGCCCCTTATGTATGAGGAAGGTAACAAATCCTCTTTTTGGAGACATCAGGGGTGTATTAGAGCTCCAATGTCTCCCCTACCCTCCACTGCAGCTAATTAAGCACAAATAGTTCTTGATAAGCTGTTTCCCCAGCCACAGCAGCCATGGAATGACAGCTTTGAAGCTAGAAATGCTCAGAGTTGAACTCATTGGAAATCAATGACAACAGAGGAGATCTTGAAACAGTTATTCTTTAGTCTCTTCCTGCTAACAGAGCAGGAGAGCTCAGGAACCATTGGGGGGGGGGGGGGTCTAGTAGTAGGGAAGTGCAGAAGGGCTCTTCAGCTCCCTGCATTATAGCTGTAGCCATGAACTTTTTTTAAACCCATCACATTCTGGATGTACATAGTTTCTCCAAAGGGGAAAAGTGGTTAAATGGGTATTAAACCCCCAAACAAAAAAATATTGTATTGCAGCTTACCACAGGCTTGTTTGGTATTCATGGCTTGGCATTCAGTAGCTCGCCAGGGAGCTATCGTTTGTGACAAGAGTACGGCAGAAGATGATTGTCAGCACAGTTTATTCTGTCGGTGGATCATCAGGGAATTGTACATCATGATTGACAATGGATCTACATCACTGGACAATGTGATCAATGATGTATTTACACCGTGGGCTCTTTTTTTTTTAATAAAGGATTTATCTGTTTTTCACTTCTTTATATGAATGAGTAATAATGGTGCTATGTACCCATTGCTCTTTCATCTGGGAGGCAGATATCTGGTGCCCCAACCTCTAATGGGGGCTTTCAGATTTTGATTAGTTGGCCTTGCAGACCCAGGGATGATGGGATGAGGCCCTTGTTCCATCATCCCCATCAACATGCCAAGAGGAACCCTCCTTCCAGGTATGAGGGCATGTGGCTTAGTATGGTTCATGGAGGTACACACTCACTGCCTGTCCTTTTCCTAGTCAGTCAGTCTACATGCCTGGATAAGGTTATGGTATTGGTTTTTGGGGGGCACATAATTTTTTTGCCTGGGGTCCCCCTCCAAATCCACACTAGGCCCTTATCAAGAATAAGAGTCTAGTACATATTTGGGGGCGACCCCACATGCAGTTCTTTGTATTCATTGCCTGTGTCCCCATTAAAAATCAAAACCAGACCCAAATTTAGAATAATGGTCTGGTGTAGATTTTGGGAGAAGCCAAACAGTTTTTTTTTTAATTTTTCTTGTGCAGGGCATGCGGTCTGGTATATATGGGGGGGGGGGGGTCATGCAAAAAAAAAAGCACTGAGGGTTTCTTTATCCCGGAATGGAGTCCGGCTGGACAGGAAAGGGAAGGGCAGAGAGCATGCATCCCCCCACATGTCCTCAACATGGGGAAGGTACCATGCCAGGTATTGAACATGCCAAATCTGGCTATTTAGTTAATCTGTTCACTGAATGTTTCGCAGCTATAGTTTGGGTTAAACTTTCCATTGATAAGAACCAGGAGGTCACCCCTAACTACAGATAGTGGGAGCTGCTAACTTTAAGTGTGCAATCAACTGATTTAAGATCTAGATCACAGAACGCTACTTGTTGAGCTCTGCATGGGCTGCATGATAAATAATTGTGCATTCAGAATAGTGATTTTTTTTTTCCTTCCTAGTAAAGAATCCATATTTCATTGCTTACAATCAGAGAACCAATCACTGGTGGCATAGGCAATTTCTAATATATGTGGTGATACATAGAGCATACACACACACTGGGGGGCATATTTATAAAGCAGTGGATGTGACAATTACCAAACAATCACTGCAATTTAAAAATGTACACAGGACGATTCACCTGCTTTATAAATATGGTTCATAACTCCAAGCAGATACTGTATTTAAAACAATTTACATAATTCTCTATTGATTAAAAATATTTAAGTGTATTCTAAAGTGCAACCAGTGTAAGTAACTAGGCTGGTATATATCAAGCCCAGAACAGCATTTTTAAAACTTAAAGATGGATGATCAGCACAAGGAACCAATCACACTTTATTGCAATCTAACACAGGGAACATGGGGGAGATTTACTAAAAGTGGTGCACACAGAACCTGGTGCAGTTGTGCACAGAAACCAATCAGCTTCCATGTTTTATTATCAAAGCTTAATTGAACAAGCTGACGTTAGTGACTGATTGGTAACTGTGCAGAGCTGCACCAGATTTTGTGTGCACCAGTTTTAGTAAATCTACTCCACAGTGCTGTCACCCTTACACTGGGAACTAGCTGACCTGACAAGAGAGCAGAATGAGCATGTTGATTGATCATCAGTTTGCTACTGTTCCACCACCATCTAATCAGCAGGCTGGGGAATGTATATTGGACCAAACTGTACTGATTAACAACAGTGGAAGTCCAAAACATGGTAAAGATTTCTGGTACATAACAAGACTGGCTAAAACAATGAAAAAAAAAAAAACATTTAGCCGTTAATACAATTCCCTGTAATGTATTTCAACGGTTTACTTAGCTGTCTGAAGTCAAGCTTTAAAACTGGTACTTGCCACACATTTATGAACCGTTACAAAAATATATTTTCTAGTCAAGGATCAGTTACTGGAAAAAAAAAACTTTTGGCTTCCAGCAGCTATGTCATTTCCCTTGATAAGTCTTAAATTGACAGCATTATCTGGCACCAAAGGAATCTTCCTCACCTATGTATCTACAATTAGAGACACAAGCTGCTTTGCTGAAAGATGTACTCAATAAGAACATATGATGTGGTAAATACTGTATTTTGCCAGTAATATGATAAAATTAAAATAGAAATTACATTGTCCAAAGTAACATGAAGGAGAAAATTCTGAGATTTACTAAAGTATATGTATTTCTATTTTAGTATAAAATAGAAATGAAAGGAGAACCATTTGTGCATGCATATAAAAAAATGATAAATACCTTTTTTTCCCTTTTTTAAAATTGATCATATACCCTTTGATATCAGCTGCATAATGAGCTGGGGGAGGATAAACAGCAGGACACTATAAAATAAAAATAGTGCAGCGCTAAAACATGGTGAAATGTGTATGCATAATATATACACTGTGATGCTAATAAAGGATAACTCATTAACTAGCAGTCCACACAAAATATGATTAATAATGTGAATAGTATATCCGTCCCATAAAGGGTGTAGAGATATAGATTCCCAACAGTAGATAGATTGGACAGTTCAGCAATAAATCTGTGTGGCCCTGGTGTGGGCAATAATAATATTCCGGTGGTGTGCGGTAAAATAGTAAGATTGCAAACTCACCAGAAACGCAATCTTAATGTGCATTAATCATATCAATCAGCCAGAGGTTCTCCCATCTAAAAGAGGTGCAGCCTGGTGTAGAAATCACATCCTCTATCAGTCTGGGCGCTTAAGATGTCAATCAGAGGTCCCTCAAGGGGTGTGCTGTATAAGGGTCTGGTCACATATAGGATCCCTCCTCTAAACTGGGAAAACCACACCTGGGGTCCTGGGGGTTTAAGCGCAAATTAGCGGGCGCCATATTTTTTTTTTTTTTTGGCTGTGTGTGTGTGTGTGTGTGTGGGAGGGGTCATCAGCATTGACCATGCTTGCTCTCATGCCTAGTGTGGTCAAGTTTTTAGTAGGAAAACAGAGAGACTGGCAGAAACACCAGGTATTTCCCACAAAGGAAGCAATGCAAAGAAAAGAGGATACTTTTTATTCGCTTATTATTTACTCTTTATTTGCTCTTGCAATTGCACACTATAGTATAATAATTTGATTTGTTTTCAATCTAACAATTTTAGGGCACAATTTATAAGCAAAATGGAAAGTTGGTTTGTAGCATGTGAAAACCTATATAATGACAGCTGTCATATTTTTGGTGCAGGTTAGAAAATGAGAAGCACCTGGTGATATAACTACTTACTATATGAGAATCTATTAATATAAGCATTAGTAATGTACCAAAATAAATTTCAGCTACTTCATACATGGCCCTTCTTTCTTTGTTAAGATCCGCAGACAGCCAGTACTGAAGTTGACGGAGTAAATCTGGAAGAAATCCGAGAGTTTGCTAAAGCATTTAAAATACGGCGTCTTTCCCTTGGCCTGACACAAACACAAGTGGGCCAGGCTTTGAGTGCAACAGAGGGTCCAGCCTATAGTCAATCTGCAATCTGTAGGTAAGGACTTTTATGCTACATCTGCTTCACCTCTCATCAGTTTTTCATATACTGCATGAATATTTAGTAGTTCTGCATGTACTACCTTACAGAATTTGCTATTTCTTCTTGTGAATAAGAACTATGTCTGTCAAATAGGCAGTATTATAGTTACACTTTGCATATTATAATGACTGCAAAGAAATACTTAAAATTAAGCTTAAAATTGTTCACAGCTTAAAAAAAAAAAACAATACTACAAAAAATGATTAGCGTTCACATATAACAAACTCAACATTAACTTACGGTAAATGTTTGTAATGTGAAATTATCTAGTGATAATCAATTGCACGTGCCTAACTAGACATGCATATTTGTTCTTAGGGGTTAATTACCTATGCATTTCTTTCATTTACTTTGTTGATCCCACATGTTCCTTCTCAGCCACAAGTTATTTAATATAATTCCATCTTTAGATACCCCTATATATCTATCCCATTGGTATACCCTTGTCATGTGGACCTGGGGGTCCTTTACTATATGTTGTCAGCATTATTAGTCTAGTAAATACTTATCTCTTAGATCTCTAAATACATTCTGTATATAATGCATGTATACTACACCGATAAAAGTTGTAATGGTAATGTATAATTGTGTGCCGCTAGTCAGAAATAAAATAAAGTAGATCTTGCTCCTGTACAGAAGCAAAATAAAGCAGATATTCTATTAGGTTGGGTCCGAGCCAAAGAGGGAGGACACACCTTCCAATTATGTTACAATGATCACATTGCATAACATACCATGAGTAGAAGGAGAAAAAGGGAACGTTTTTCATTACTCCCCAGTGGGTGCCCAGTCTAATAGTAGAACTGTTTTTATACTTCTGCAACATAAATTTAGTTATCATAATTTCGGCTTCTCCAAGTTTTATAATTGTCCCTTTTGCTCCTGCACTGTATACACTGGGGGTGCATCTTTACAGCTATACCCTAGATTTGTATGATTCCAATTCCAGGAGTGTTTGTACCAATTATTGCATGCTATCAAACTTGGGACACTTCATGTCCTTTGTACGTCCGAAGGTCATCACGCAGTTTGGCACTCCACTATCAATAGAGCACAGGTTCAGTTTGCCATATGACCATTTAAACCTCAACAATCACCTTTACTTCTACCCCCCTCCCACACACACACACACACACACACACACATAAACTAGGGCTTAGTCATAGAGGCAGAGGGCATAGAAAGGGTTGAAGTCTATATACAACTGTTATCATACCTATAGCTGTTTCTTAAAGTCACAAACCCATATTAGCAATCCGTTTTATTCCATTAAACATGTTAAAATATCCACTCTGATAATTCCCACCTATAAAAACACATACCTTTATCCAAAACCAATTCAACCTAACTGATTTATAGTTTGAAGTACTCTTAGCAGAAAGGATGTTTTATATTAAAACACAAGCTGAACAATTTGCACCAGACAGTAGGGGGGAATTCAATAAAGCCATTTTTCTGGTGGTAATCCCACTTGTATTGTGCCAAATTCATGAAGCATTTGCAACATTTTTGTATCTGACAGCAACTTGTGTTCCAAATTTAGATAGTTCTAAAATGCATCACTTTTACATTGTGTCTCATTGAATGTGCAACCTTTACATTGAGTCACACTGAATAGTCCCAATGTAAAAGTGGAGCTAATTAAGACCAATTCTCTTTTGGCATAGAGGAGAAAAACTGGCTCAGACAGATTTTGTGAAAGTGTCTCTAAAAGTGGCGCAATATGAGTCAAATTCAAGTACAAGTTCTTGACATGAATTTTGAACATTCTTCACCAGTTTTAGAATGTATGAGAGTCACTTTCGCAAAATCTGCATGACCAAGTCTTTCATAGTTCCAGGGAGTATTTTCCTGTTTAGTGCAGGTATTTTGGGATTGATTTAGTAAAGGCAAATATATGGTTCACTTTCTTAGGGAAGTTACACTTTGTTAGGGAATGAAGCTTAGCGAATGATGGAAAACTCTGCTGACTTCCATCATCCAAATTATGTGCAAACAATAATGGTGTTCTTTTTTAATTTTTCTTCCACACTATTGGATATTCTTTTCAAAATAAAATGTCACTGCATTCACTTAGCTCTGGGGGAAATTCCTTTGGTAAATCAACCCCACTGTGATGGTAATTAACCCTATCCAAAACATTCATTATTGCCTATGAACATCTTAGAGTGGAACAACAAATTTGTAATAAAGCCCCTGGTGAACTAAACACAATATCTAAATAACTAAATATTGGAGCATTCTTATTATAAAAGCAAAGGACGATCTTTCTAGTATAAAAATTAATCATTTTGTAAATAGTATAAGTATTCCCCTTTGAGACACATAAATGTACTATTGAACCTCATAGCAGGTCTGGTTTACTAAGACTACAGATACCCCTTATCTTAGCATGTGTATTGATCGTACTTTGTATATACATATATATCCTACAGTACATTGTTGCAATAAACTTTATGAGTAAAGCAATAGATACTTCCAAGAGCTTTTCATTGTTTCTAAAGACCTTGGAGTCTTCCACAAAAAGCCAACCAAATCTCAGCTCATTTAAGTGGATTTTGTTCTTGGTGATCCGTGAAATACTCCATCTCTTTATCCGCTCTTTAGATTTTTAATGTATTCCCTGTAGAACAGAAGTGTACTTTTCCCGCAGTTTAAGAATAAGGTTATAAATAACATCAGTATGGGGTAGTGAGCTTGCAGCTCACATTTTTCTCAATGATTTTCCATAAAACCCATTGATTGTTGTTAAATACAAAAAGCTCCATAGGATCCTCTCACTTCTATGGCATCCCCTACTGTTTTTTCTTATAAGATACCTCCCTGTAGAAAATAACCTTTATTCAGTCTATACAAGGATACCACTGCTGGGAAATTTGTTTCATGACTTGTATATTGTTATAGCAAATATCACGTAGTGAAGAATCAACATAGATAGGGAACACCAATGATCTAAATGCTACCTCCCTTTATGCCTAGTAATGATTTAGCAGATTTTATCTTACATAGATTAAGCACTAATATTAAAACCTAAGCACAATGACTTTTATTACTAAGTAATTGTTTCTAAAATGTGCTTGCTATTGTGTTCCATTTCTAGGACATGATTTATTATGTGAAATATTACTTTCAAAACAGTATAAATTTGTCTCATTATTAAACATACAATTTACATATAAGCCTAATATCTGTAACCTGCAGGGTGCATGAGTCTTTGTCCTTTCCTAACCGAAACTTCTCAGGGATGAGAAAATGTTGTAAATGTTTTCAGATTTGAAAAATCTTCCTGCAACATTGTCAGATAAAAAAATAGTTTGTGAAAAAGGTCTATTAAACAGCTCTAAAGATATATTTTTGTTCATAGAGTAAAGCTTTGCATTGTAGTGCTATGGCACTTGATCTCAGAATGTAATGATCAGACTAATAAAATTGCCTGGCACTGTTCATCTTAGAGTAATAATAAATCTTAATTTTTTACTAAAATAATAAATATGTCATACTGGTTGTGCACAGAGCAGCCCTATTCCTCTTCTTCTCAGTCCCCTGCTAGCGCTTTTGGCTCCTCCCCCCATCCGGTGCCCCCATAGAAAGAAGCTTTCAATGGGGGCACTCATGTGGGCTAACTCCCGAACCTCCCCGCCTGTATCTATTGACACAAACAGGTTGGCTTGGCCCCTCTCCCTTGTCACTGGATTTGATTGACAGGAGTAGGAGCCAATCCTCACTGAGGGACAGAGCTGGGAAAGCTGTAGCTCTTGAGCACAGCGCTGGATCACGATGGGGCTTAGGTAAATATAAGGAGGAGGAGGGGGAGAGTCTGTGACACAGAAGGTTTTTTTTACCTTTGTGTATTAATGTAAAACCTTGAGACTTTAGAAGCACTTTAAGTTAATTTGCAATGAGCCCAAGGAAACTGTTTATGTATGTGATTTAAGTCTCTCTTCATAGTAACAGTGAAATAGCACATACTCAGACAATAAAAAAGAAGGAACAACAAAGTTTACTAATGACAGATTACAAAATATCAGTCTCTGGTCTCACTCTCAGTGAGAGGACATTACCTGCAAAAATCACTGCAGGCTACTGGGTTTTGATGGTTTTACAGCCTTATTACCAGACAGGGTGTGAACTTTTAACTGCTACAAATACAGATGGCTAGGCAGCCACTCAGTCAGGCCTGGGCGTAGGGGTAGGCAGAAGAGGTGGCCTTTTAGGGCACTTCAGCTGGAGAGGGGTGGAAAAAAGCAGGACCTGCACTGTATGCTGCTACAGGTCATAGGGGGAGGTGCTTTGGCCTTTTTTGGCTTGGGTTCTAAAATACCTTGTCCCAGCACTGCAATCTTTAATGCCCAAATCTGGACTCTAGCTGCAGAAAGAATTGCAAATGGACAGAGAGGGTGATCAGTGCAGAGGCTAGGGGATATTTCTGGAACCAATCTTTTGTGTGGCTCTCCCTGCAGCAGCTGAAAGCCAGCATCTACTCCTCCCTCCCGCCAACTTTCATCTGCTGCAAGAAGAGCCATGCAGAAGATTGGTTTCAGTCATTTCCACCACCTGCTGCACTGATCACTCAATCTGTCCATATGCTATTCCCCCTGATGCCTGTGCCCCTGCAGTGTGCCCAATGCTGTATGCCTGTCATGCAATGTGCTCACCCCCTCTTTGCTTCCCTCTGCTACACCCAGCTCCTGCGGGACACAGGTAATCTCCAGATGGAGAGCTGGGGAAGGGGGGAAGAAAATATATCATACTTACTGGCCCCTTCATTTTCCTAATGAGCACAATGAGTGATGGGTACCAATCACCCACTGTGTTCATTAATAGCTGAAGCATAGTAAACTGCATTTAATATGTTTCAGTTTGTGAATGAACAGGCAGCCTCAGAGTGCTTTCTATTCATTCACCTCCAGTGCAGTTGAGATTGCAGAGAAAGGGATTGGGGAATTTATATCTAGCTTCTTTCTCTGTCCCAAAATAAGACATCAGAAGACTGTTTAGATCACTGATGATGTCAAAGAAAATGTAAAAAATTGTAAAAAAAAAAAAAGAAAAAATGTAAATAATTAAAAATACAGTGAGGGACAGTGTATACAGGAGGGCAGTGTATGGGGCGGGATAGTGTGTACAGGAGATTAATTTAATTTGGGATAATTCCCTGGTTGTCCTTATTTGTTGTTTCTAATCAGATTTAAAAGCCATGTCCAATATGTAGCATCATTTAGCCACACCCACATTTTGCCACTGCACGTTTAACACACTGCAGGTCACCATCTCCTTGGTAGGGGCCCCAATGCTTTACCTTGCCCAGGGGCCCATGATGCTTTTAAAATGACACTGAGTAAGCAAGATCACTTCTCTATGAACTCTATTCCTGAATTTAGGCTAGGCATAGATGTTTTTTTTTCACTCAAACAGCGAGTGAGGTGGAGGAATCTTTCCCACCATGCTATTATATTCAGATAGCGGGGACCCCCCCTGTCAGAATACCCTGATCATCATTGCAGATGATTGGCTGCACTTGCTGATCAAATGAAAATTTTCCAACAGTCTTGTTTGACAGAGGTCAATTGTTTGACTTCTGTCAAGTGGATATGGTCATAGATGGATCAAATTTCAATCCATCTATGGCTAACTTTAGTGCCATCTATTAATAACTTATCAGTGGTTATAAATGTGAAAAGTGTTTTACCTTAATGAATTCTCTGCATTAAGGTTAAAAAAAAACCTTTCAAATGTTGCTCCTCCCCAGCCCCCCATAAACACTTACCTGAGCCTGATCTCGATCCAGGGCTGTGCCTGTCTGCAACATTTCTTCTCCTCTCTTTCTTCTCACAGGATACTTGGCAGAAGTGGGAGCCATTGGCTCCCGCTCCTGTCAGTCAAAGCCTATGAGAAGTGAGCAGGGGTGGGGCCAAGCCATAATGTGTGTGTCTATGGACCCACATAGCCCTACTTGGGATAAAGCCCATACGTATGCCCCCATAGAGAGTGGTTTGCTATGGGGCAGAAAAAAAAGAAGGAGGAACCAAGTGTTCCAGCTAGGGACCTCAGAAGATGAGGCTTGGGGCTGCTCTGTGCAAAACAATTACACAGAACAGATAAGTATGACATGTTTGTTATTTAAAAATATAAGTTCAAGCTTTGCAATCACTTTAATATGAGAAATATACATTAATCTAACATAGAATGCAAAGAGAAATGAGGACAAAAATGAGGAAAAAAATTAATTTGATTGCTTACTTTGGGTTACTCCATTTTAATAATAATAGCTCTTGGCACTCACTAAAGAAGCTAACGTACTTTAAAAAGAGTAGAAAATATTTCAGCATTACCCATTCTAACTAATCATATACTGTACATTTCTTTTCAAAGGGACTCTGTCAAGAGATATATACCTGGGGCTCCATACATCATACATCATACCATTATTGTAGATCAGGGGCTCGCTAAGTAGGCTCAGTATGACAACCAAACATCTAGCATTTTCAGAAGGTTGATGGAAACACTTTCTCTTCATAGAGAACCAATCATGATTTGGCGTAGAAAGGTCTTAATTTGTCATACTTACTAGGGCACTGATTTACTAAAGGCAAATCAGCTGTTCGCTTTGCAAGAAAAGCAGCACTTTTTCCAGAGTTTAGTGAATTTGATGAATACAGAATCACATTCAGGGAAAATGTACAAAAAACCCTACTTTTTTTATTATTATTATTATACTATAAGCGCCAATAGTTCACTCAGCGCTGTACATTACAAAGGGGGACAGAACATGTGACAGAACGATAACAATACAATGCAAAACATGAGGGGATCGAGGGCCCTGCTCTTTCAAGCTTACAATCTAGGAGATTGCATATTATTGTTTTATGGGAGTCAGCAGCCCCCCCAGAAACATAATTTCCTGCGTCTCTGATTGGCTTACTGATTTTCCCAGAAGTCTGCACTAAGATACAGATCAGATCAGATTTCAGGCATCTCCTGCAACACAAATGTAATTTTTGGTGAGATACTCCCAATAGGAAATCACTTCTAAAGGGATGCAGACCCTGCAATTTTCCTCATTAGAACCTTGCAAGTGCAGCAGCTGACTGATAATTATGAAACCACTCCCATACAGATTCACTTTCCACATAGACACAGACAAACAAACATGTTTTTTTTTAAATAACAAAAGGTAGGAATCTACAACAACATTTGTTAAAATCTTTTCAATGCACATTGATCACCCAGTGGGGAATGTTTTTTTTTTCTCAACAAAACTGGACTTTTTAAACAAAGTAATAAAAAACAAATAAGGTGAAAAGTAGCAACTGTATTTTTATTACTTATACATAAACAAGCACAAATAACATTTCTATATAAGAGAAACATTTGCTGACAAATCATATAATTTGTGTACTCTAGAATATGTGACACCATAATACTAAAATGAAAAGTTATGTTGGATTTTTTATAAAAAAAAAAAACAGAACAAGTAAAAGATTACATTCACAGGAATGTGAAGCTAGTTCAAATTCATAGTTAGTCTACAGAACAATGGGACTGGCAAGTCCTTCATTCACACATAAAAGAAATCGAACTGACCCTTTAAGTCAGCAGAGAAATTTACAGATACAGCTGAAGTGAACTGTAAACAGACTTGCAAACAACTGTAAAGCTATTGTAAGCATTTATTCCACAGCCACTCTTCTCTTTTAGAGGCTTACTCTCTAAGGGAGGTTTTGAAATTGTTATTTTTTGTTACCATTAAAATCCAGAATGACCAAAAATGTTGCTTGAATTATATAGGGTTGTCAACAAGTTTAGTTGGGTGTCAGCTTCTTATATTTCTCAGGAACTCCAGACATGAGATACCATGACCAAAATTATGAGTTCTGATCAAAAACCACAGGCATGCAAAAATTTCACATACCATGATAGATTCAGATATAAAATAATTTCATAAAAGCTGTAAGAGAATGCCTTCTACTGCAGAGAAGTGTAATTAATGAAATCTCAGAGATACAACATTTTTCTACTTACTACTTTTGGTTGTCCATGAAATTAACATGCAGTTATATTTTAGGGCTTGGCAATTCTGGATAGACTGGTACATATTGTACTTAGCTAAGTTAACAAAATACATTATTCCCAGAGTCCACCTAATAGAGGAAAAAAAATATGTAAACCCACACCCACTAATTTTATTTTGCCTGCAGTACAACCTGGCATAGCCATGTTCTCTGACAGTCAGAAAGCTAGGCACTGATGATTAATCATTTTCATACGCAGAGGTTTTATAAGCATGAAGGTTGCTTCTAGAAAATCATGCCTTGCTAATCCCAACATAATACTCTAGTTGCTCCTTCTAGAAGTTCAATGATGAACCTCCAGCAGGAGGTCCCATTGCTCTCTCCCACCATCCCATCATGGCCATTATTTTGCAGTGAAACATGATAGGCGGGCAGTGAATAGATATGGTAATGGCTATGAGCCAGCAGGCAGGTAAGATGAGAAGGCTGCCTAATCTAGAGCTAGCATGGGGATTCATTACCTTAAGAAAAGAGCATCCGTACTCAACAAAGTAATATACTATGAAATAAATTGAGTTCTAATCTCCAGTTTGTATAGGATGTTTTCCACACACAAATGCTCATAATCATGCTTTGATTTTCTATAGAAATGTAATATCCTTGAAACCTTTGAAAATAATAAATGCATGTTCTTTCACTAACCCAATTCATTATCATACATATTTTTTGACAATAAACTACACAATTAGAAAACACATTTTCTGTATAGTTGTGTGCATTTTTTGAATGTGTTACTACTCCCATTCTTTTTTCTTTTGTGCAAGCTGTAAAGGATCAATTTATAGCTTTATGTGCTTGAAAATTTGAAATCATGCATGCATGTCTGCTAATGTGTTACAATGAAGCATATTGTCCTTGTTAACTACCTCTGCCAGTCCATTAGTTAGGCAGGCAGGAAGTCCCACCCTGGCAGAGCAACAGTGTAAGACTCTTCTTTTTCAATTTTCCCCTCAGACACACCATCCTGAGAAGCCACTTTTTCCTACCACAGGAAGCCCAAGAGAACACTATAGCTAGCAGTCTGACAGCCAAACTGAACCCTGGCCTTTTGTATCCTGCCAGGTTTGAAAAGCTGGACATCACCCCTAAAAGTGCCCAGAAGATAAAGCCTGTCCTTGAGAGGTGGATGGCCGAGGCTGAGGCCCGCCATCGAGCAGGTATGCAGAACCTCACAGAATTTATCGGCAGCGAGCCTTCAAAAAAACGCAAGAGGCGCACTTCATTCACTCCGCAGGCCCTGGAGATCTTGAACGCCCATTTTGAGAAGAACACACACCCTTCAGGACAGGAAATGACAGAAATTGCTGAGAAACTGAACTATGACCGGGAAGTTGTCCGAGTGTGGTTCTGCAACAAACGGCAAGCCCTCAAGAACACAATAAAACGATTAAAACAACATGAACCAGGCACAGGAGTCCCAATAGAATCCTTAACAGATTCAATGGAAGATAATTCCTAAAACATTGAGAATGAACTCTTTGAAATGTCTGTTCATCAGCCTTGTAAGTAAAAAAAAAAAAAAAAAACCTAAAAAAAAGGAAAGGTGGACAGAACAATTTATTCATGTGTTCAAGAGTTTTCCAAATACAATGCACAGCACCTAAGTGTGCATGTGTATGTGCTAGTAGCCCTAAACAGAAAAAAAAGACAAAAACATTTTTTTCTATGGACTTCACAAAAACCAAATAACTGTGTTCATTTTTCTGTATATTAAGACAATGTGAACAGTGTTTGAAAACCAAGAGAATCTTTTATCTATCTAAAAAGAAAAACAAGCCTGCCACCTGGAGGATTATTTGTAGACTTTCAGGGTTTAAGTGCTCATTCACTAGAAAATCTTCACTATGAACCAAAGCCAGAAAAATGGTGTTGCAAAACTAGATTGTTGGACTTCTCTAAAATAAGCATCATGATGTGTTTCACATGTTCACTGTCTGTTGTAAGAAAAAGTAAAATTTGTATTTTTTCAGTTATGTTTTATTGCGACACATACATTTTAATCACACGAACTCACATATTGTTTGTGGAAACTGTAAAATTACATTTTTTGACTACTATAAGGGGAAAACAGTTTAATTACATGACAACTATGATATGTGGGTTCCATCCTGGCACATGTAAAGATTGAGTTATATTTGGTTCATGTCATACAGTGCCAAATAGGGTTCACCTTGGTGTATGTTGTATGAATGAAAACCTTAGAGAAGAAATAGGGTTTCCACAACTGCGTTCTGCAACCGTTTTCTGTATTTTTTTTTCCAAAGTCTCTTAGCCAAAGAAATTTTTGAGAATCTGGTGAAGTACAAGACAGTTCCTGGATTATACCAAATGGAGGGCTGTTGGAATATTACAGTGTTAAATACAGCAACTTAAAATCATGTGCATTGCTTAATGTGACCAAGATTTTGATTTGTCATGTGCCAATTTTTAACAACAAAAACAACATTTATCAACTAGCTATATTTTTTTCTTTTTTTGTCATTAAACAAGTTAATTGCATGGATGCACAGAAAAACATAATGCACAACTTTAACTCAAAAATGTTACATTCATTTTGTAAGTATATTGACTGTTGACATACCTGTAGAGGATGCAGCCCTACATTTAAACTTTGCCTGAGATGTAATAGAGAGAATCATGCTTTTACAAAGTGTGTCAAATATGTGAGGTATATCATATATCATCAGAAGCTCGATTTAGGACATGTGTACATGGGCTTTGCTTTCCATGCATGCCAATGGGATGGAATATGTAATTTGGCTGAGCTTGATGCAGCTTAGAAGGAGTTGGTTGGAAAGAAACCTGAAGAACCTGTGAAAGTACTTAGAATGATCTCTAAAGTATCTCGAACTGATCTCATATATATTCTGAATGCACCAGAAAGCATGCTGCATCCCCTGTTTAACAAGTCCTCGCTGAAGTGTGAAGTTCAGTAAAATAAACTGAAGTGACCTTGGTCAACATTACTAGAAAGTGCGGTGAAGTGAGCTAGTGTTTATAATGAACATCCAGTTGTGAAAAGGGAGCTCTATTTTTTACCCTGCACAAATGCATTTTTAAAGTGTCCACAAGTTTTCTTCACAGTAAATCGGGCCTGAGATTCCCTTACTTTCCCAACACATCACCTCAATTTACTGCATCTAACACTTCAGCAAGTCATGTCCAGTGTTCAAACCTCAGGGTTTTTGTAGGTTGCTTATGGTACTTAGCAGTAAAAAGACAAGCTTAGGACATGGGGCATTTTTTTCATACTGTATCTCTAGTACTAGTGACTAGCAGCTTTCTGATTACTAGTTTTTGGCTAAATATGTGCATCTTGGCCAGCAATCAGTAACAGTAGATTCCTCATCTACATTCGTAAGCAAGCTAGTTCGACATGCTGTCATAGTATATAATGCCTATTAAAGTGGTATTAAACACAAGAACAAATTGTTTTATATTGCTACTTACTGTATCAGTTTTTAGAGGTTTTTCAGGCTTTTTTTTATCATTAATTTTCTCCTGGTGATCTAGCCAGTAATTCTGTTATTTTTAAACTTATTTTAAGCTGTCCAGCAAAAGTGGCAGATGGGTTGAGACTAACCATTTAACACTGACAGGGGTACTTATAATAGTCAGCTTTTATTAGTTTATATCAAACCTTTATCCCAAAAAGACAAAAAAAGTTGCTGTAACTGCTTAAATAGTATTAGCTGGAGTTCCATTTTATTTGTTAGCCAGGGCCATCTAAATCTGTTAGTGCATCAAACACTATCTTCTCCCTAGATTAATAATGCTGCTGTCCAAAGGTGTCTCCATTGTTCTGTTCTTCACATGGAGTGTTTTACTGGCTAGATAACCAGGTGGAAATGAAGAAAAAGAGTCCATAAAATAACAAATGCAGCCCCCACATTTAGGCCCCTTTCAGACACCCACCATCAGATCCATTTGCTCAGTGGGGGATCTCTCCACTGATCCCCACTGAGCAAGCGGATGACAGGTCTGTGTCCGCTCTGCTCCTGCAGATCTATGTCTGTGTCCTGCAGAGCAGACACAGACATAGCCTACTTTTTCCTATGGGGTATTCGTATAAAAACAGACCACCTGTCCGTTTCCACCCGACTGTCATTTCATCCGATCTGCCAGATGGGTGGAGAACAAATCCCCATCCGTCTGTTTTTGGTGTATAGGATTAGATCAGATGCTGGCAGGTGTCACTTGTCCGCTGACACCCTCCGGTTCAAAGAGGTCTATGGATGGTCCGATCGGGTCCGCCTGAAAAACTGAAAGGTGGACCTGATCCGACCATCAATGTGAAAGGCACCTTAAGGATTGGTAAGCTGCAATATTTTATATTTTTGTTTTTGGGTTTAATACCAACTTTAAGCTTTTCTTAACAAAAGATAAAAATGACTTACTTTTGAGTGTACATTAACCCCTCATACTCCTCCCAGCTTTTCAAAGATAAAGTGTATCTAGAGGCAAAACTGTATTGATTTTTGGGATTGGCTAAAATGTAGAAGAATTAGACCCTCTATCAAGCTTGTATTGCTATTTGTGTCATCCTTTGCATTTGTCCTGGTGATTATTGCCAGCAAGACAAAGATAAAAAGTGATGAAAAATCCAAAATTTTAAAGTCTTTACCAGAACAGGAGTTGAAGGTAAATCATCCAAGAGCAACAAATGTTTAGGTGTTTAAAATAATGCTGCCATCATTTGGGTGAATTTTGCTCTACTTTTTGGTTACATGCCTAAGGCAGGAAATAAAGGGAAATCTGGACAGCTAGATACAGACAGCAAACTTTTTGTGGCATTTTTCCTCATTTTCTGCTGATTCCCTAAAGCCCCTTTCACAGAAGCAGACCAATCGAGTTTTTAGGCAGACCTGATCAGACCCTCCATTATCCTCTAGGGAGTGCTAGGTATAAATGGACATGTTTCCATTTACACCTGCCACCATCCAATCTGATCCACCAAAATAGACGGATAGGGATTCTCCTTTTGTCTAGCAGATTGGGTGATCTGTCTAGCAGTTGGGTGTAAACAGACAGGATGTCTAATTACATTCAACCTCCTATAGAGGAGAGCGGGCTGTGTCTGTGTTCGCTGTGCATAAACAGAGCGAACATGGACCACCCATCCACCTGTTCAGCAGGGATCAGCAGATAGATTCCCCCCCTGAGCTAGCGGACTCCTTGTAAAATCTTCCCTGTGTGAAAGGGGCCTAAGACAGGAGATGCAGCAAAATATGACCAGTTAGGTTTTTGCTGTCTGTGGCTATTTGACAAGGGTCTTAACCTTTCCCTACTGTATCAAAAACTAAAAAAGGAAACATTTTGGCTATACATACGCTTTAAATCTTTCATTTGTGTAGAACAGTTTAACAAACATTATTTATATTAAATTAAAATGCTCCAATAATTTTTTTTTTATAACAGTCCCTTGATAAACACTAATTGCATTCATGCCTTCTTGTTAAACTATTGTGCTAACAAAATGTATTTCAAATTATTTTCTTGGCCAAAACAAATAAAACAGGTAACAATGCAAAATTACAGTATGTTTACCTCACAAATGAATACACCAAAGGTTCCACTTATTTGCCATAGAACTTTTCTTTTTATTTTTGTATTTACACAAACTAATCAAAAAACTGAGTCTGTTACACTGTTATTCTGTTGCAAAAAAAAAAAATGCCTATTTTATGCTATTCTTTCAAATTCAAGTAAGGCTGTTATAGTTAGCAGGATGCCAAAAAGCAATCATCTCTGCACTGTGTAACAAAAATGTTGTTGATATGATCTGTATTTATTAAAAACTACTGCTCCATTGAAATCACATGCATTTCCTAAATTAGCACATCACATACATTTAGCCATATAGCCATAAAAGAAATGTTTCCATTTAGAGCCAGTTAACACCACAACGCAGTGTGGGAAACCTGATTTCCGTAAGCATTTCCTGCACTGTGTTCAAAACAAACTCAATTGCAATCTGCAGTTGGTGTCAATAATAAGTTAATGACATCCCAAATGCAGTGCTCAAATGCAGTGCATTTCCCCGCACAGGATCACATGGTACAGAAGTACCATGCAATCTGGTTACAGTGAGTTTCCAAAAGTCGTGTCTGCACTACTTTTAAACCAGTGAGGTGCGATTTCAGCCCACTCAAAATGAATTGCTCAGCACAGAACTGCATGTGAATTGCACAGGAATGTACTGCGTGTTCCAGTGTGAACCGGCTCTTAATTAGCTAAACTTAATTTCAAAGGTGACACAGACTTAGAGTCTTTTCACCAGAATAAACAATGTTTTTAACCATTAAAGGTTTACATAATTTTAGTCCAGAAAGGCCTCATTCATAATGTTTTATGTAGTAAAAAGTACCCTTTAAAGACAGCTTTCTTTTCATCATGCAAATCATGGAGAGATTACAACCACTAACATGCAAACAATCAAATTTTTTTTAATGTTTGATA